AGCTTTCCAGCCACCAGGTGCCCATCTGAGAAGTGATTTAGAAGAAATAAGGAAGGGAGCGCTAAGTAAGCACAGAAAGCCTGAGGTGGGAGAGTGCTTGTCACATCCGAGAAAGCACAAGGAGTGAGGGCCAAACATGTGGGGCCTGGTGGACCACGGCAAAGACCGAGAATGGGAAGTAGGGAGGAAATGAACCATGTCTTCAAGGCCAGGGGCCTGATTTTTTTTTTAATATTTATTTATGTAATTTATTTATTTTCCTTATTTTTTTTGCCTGCGTCAGGTCTTCGTTGCGGCACACAGGATCTTTGTTGAGGCACACAGGATCTTTGTTGAGGCATGTGGGATCTTTTCGTTATGGCACGGTCTGCTCGGGTTTCTCTCTAGTTGCGGCTCGTGGGCTTCTCTCTAGTTGTGGCATGTGGGTTTTTGCTTTCCTCTCTCTAGTTGTGGCACGTGGGGTCCAGGGCGCCTGGACTCTGTAGTTTGAGGCACGCAGGCTCTCTTTGAGGCGCGCGGGCTTAGTTGCCCCACGGCATGTGGGATCTTGGTTCCCTGACCAGGGATCGAACCTGCGTCCCCTGTATTGGAAGGTGGATTTCTTTACCACTGGACCACCAGGAAGTCCCAGGGCCTGATTTTTAAGCTATGGTTGCCAGACCGTTGGTTGCTATGTCACTGCCATCTCTACTTGTTCCCCGCTGCAGAGTTCATCTGCCATTAATGTCTGCAAATACTAGACACTTGTTTTCCCTGCCTGCCCTGAAGCTGGGGCGTGAGCAAGTGATCCAAAATCTAAACTGTTTCCCTAAATTGTAGTTTAGGATTAGGTAGATTGGAAAGGGGAGAGACTACAAGCCAAGGGCCAGTCAGGAGGCTTTTGCCCAATTCTAGGACAGAGGTAAGTTGTGTCTGAATATCAATAATGGTCATAGGACAAGAGATGAGGGGTGGACGAGACAGAGATGGAAATGACATGTTCTGGCAACGGGATATGAACAGAAATGGAGAGAGAAGTGGGGTGAGGAAGCAGTGGGGGGAAAGTGGCAGAGCCGGGGGCAAGAATAGTAGCGTGGCTAGAGAAACTGACTTCAGTGATGTGGTGGCAGTCCTTCTGACAAGGAGTGCATCCACACGTAGGGGAAGGGAAAAGCCTCCCATCTTTGGGGAGGAGTATCTAGAAAGCGAGAATAGAAACTATTCAGACTCATTCGCAGATCTGGTCTCTGTGCATGTTATTCATTCTGCCTGGGGGGCTCTTTGCCTAGCAAACTCCTATCCATCCCTCTATACCCAGATTAATTGCTATCTTCTCCAAGAAATCTTCTTGGACTACCTTAAGGCAGAATTATTTCTTTTTCTAGGTTTCTGGAACCCTTCACTGACACCTGCATCCTATCACTTGCTACATACAATGCATTGTCATTTTTCTGTTTCCTCTTTAGTACTAGATGGCAGGTGGGCTCCTTAAGGGGCAGCTTAATAATTTTGTATCCCTGGCATTTAACACTGTGCCTGAAATATAATCATCAAATGAGTGATGAATGGTTGAATAAAATATCGATGATGGAAAAAAAGGTAGAGGCTAAAAGTGGTAGCAGAAGGGGGTGAAATGTTGAAATATTAAAGTTAGGATATTGAGACATTCACAGAGAATGGTGGAACAGATGAGGTTATCCTTGGAAGCTCTTAGAAGGTTCTATATGTGGGAGGAGGAGATCTAAATCGTTGAGCTAATACCAAAACGGAGAGGAATTACGATCATTGCCTGAGAATATCTCAAGAAGAAATGTGCAGAGAAAAACAGATGACATATTAGATTAAGTTGAAAGTAGAGCCCAAAGAGAACCTGAAGGTCAGGAAATCATGAGAGTGTCTTCTTCAGAAGTTCTGGAAACAGAACAGTGACTTTTTTTTTTTTTTTTTTTTTTTTGGTAAGCGGGGTTTTGGCTGTGGCCTCTCCCGTTGCGGAGCACAGGCTCCGGATGCGCAGGCTCA